TTAATTTCATAGCTTAATTATTGGAGGATAATTTTAGAAGTGGGCCAATTTACAACTGACCAAATTTACTAACCAAAAGTTTGCTCTAGATATTTTATTACTATTAATACATCTGATAAACATGAATGTGAGCATATTCAGTGACATGTTTTTATTAACATTTTATATGTATATATGGAGAAAGAGAATGGATATGGTATGTGTAAATGGATACATATCCTCTTGAATATATTCAATGTATTTAAAACTTCTTTTGGATATAGTTTCATTATTAACATATTTCAAATTAAACTCATTCATTTCTAATATTTTAAGGGTGTTTTTTTTTTTGCCCACAGATCAATAAGACTAGTTCACCAGTTGGGATAAATTTTCTACATTTGCAGAAATAACAAAAACTGAAAACTTAAAAGGATATAAAGTTCCGAGCAATTTTTGTGAAATGCTAGTTGACACATTCTCACTTTGTTTTTCCAGCAGTATTGTTAAATGCTTAGATTGTTTCTGTTCTAGTTTCTCTGCTCCTCCTGAAGAACTAAATTTCAACATAATTATTTTCCTTTGCAATTGTGTATGTTTTATTTTATGCATTTAACAAAAAATTGTGTGAAGGTGTCCATGGTCTTCATTATATTGTCAATAGGACCCATGGCAGAGTCAAGGTAAAGAACTCCTGGGCTAATGGGAAAGGTAGGAAAGAGAGAGGGAACCAAAGAGGAGATTCAGCAGATAGCCTGATCTGGTCCTAGGAGGAAGAGAAACTGAGGGATAGAGAGATGACGGACAGACACATGGTTCTAAGTCCTTGGAAACTAGGAAGCATGGCTCCTATATGTTTTTGCCAAATCAGTTATTTTTATACATTTGTAAATTAGGATTTTGAAAACTTGATCCTTCTTTGAATTGACCAAAAAACACCTTCCCGACTTGCTAGAGCACCTCTAAAATATACATGAAATAGATAGCTTTTGTAAGTCTTTTGTTTCTTTCATTGTATTGGTTAAGGTAGTGCTATAATGAGATATCTGTTCACACCCCTGAGGACAG